TCCAGCCTGGGTGACAGAACAAGACTCCATCTCAATAAATAAATAAATAAATAAAAATAAAAAATCTAAGATCAGGATGAAATAATTGGCCTAATGCAAAAAAAAGAAAATGGGGGAAAAAAAAAAGGGCGAAAGAGGGAAAAAAAAAGGCTGGGTGCAGTGGCTCATGCCACTAACCCCAGCACTTTGGGAGGCCAATGCGGGAAGATCCCTTGAGCCCAGGAGTTTGAGATCAGCCTGGGCAACAAAATGAGACCCTGTCTCTACAAAAAAATAATTTAAAAAAATTAGTTGGGCATAGTGGTACATGCCTGCAGTCCCAGTTACTTGGGAGGCTGGGGTGAGATTGTTTGATCCCAGGAGTTCCAGGCTGCAGCAAGCTATGATCACACCACTGCACTCCAGCCTGGGTAGCAGAGCAAGACCTATCTCTAAAAAAGAGGGATGGAGGTGTTAGGGGGTAGCCAGTGTATAAAGCCAATGTAGCCAGTATGTATGCTGGAGAATCAGAACAACAAAAATTTTATTTTTATAGTGTACCAAAACCTTACTGTTAAGGGTTGAATTGTGTCCCCCATGAAAGATATGTTCAAGTCCTAACCCCTGGTACCTATGAATGGGATCTTCTTTGGAAATAGGATCTTTGCAGATGTAATCAAGTTGAGATGAGATCATCTTGGATTAGGGTGAGCCCTAAATCCACTGACTTGGTGTCTTTGTAAGAGAAAGGAAAGGGCGATTTGGATGCAGATACATAGAGAAGAACATGAAGCTGTGAAGAACTTGAAATGCAGATGGAGGAAAAGGCGGGAGTGATGGCATCTATAATCCAAGGACCACCAAGAATTGCTAGGGTCCACCAGAAGGTAGGCAGAGGCAGCAGGGATTCTTCCTTAGAGCCTTTAGAGGAAGTGTGGCCCTGCCCACACCCTGATTTCAGATTCCCCGCCTCCAGAACTGTGGAAGAATAAATTTCTGTTGTTTATAAGCTTCTGAGTTTGTGGTACTTTGCTGTAGCAGCCTTAGGAAACCAAATACACTCATGTACACATAACAACATAAGATTCCAACCTGAATTTTAAAATAGAGGGAAACTTACTTTCCCTTAGGTTAAAAGGACCCAGCATACAAAAAAAAAGTAAAGGTAATTCTCTAGGGAATTCAAAGTCATCCTGGATGGTTTTTTTTCTAAGGTTTGTTTGGGTGCATCTTGGGGATATAAAATCCTATGTCTAAGGAACAAAGAAAATGTTAATACTTTTGTGGAACCAAACATGTACTGATTTGCTAACCTTTAAAATATTGGTCAGGCGAGGTGTGGGGGCTCACGCCTATAATCGCAGCACTTTGGGAGGCCGAGGTGGGTGGATCACTTGAGGTCACGAGTTTGTGACCAGCCTGGCCAACAGGGCAAAACCCCGTGTCTACTAAAAATACAAAAATTAGCCAGGTGTGGCGGTGGGCATCTGTAATTCCAGCTACTTGGGAGGCAGGAGAATCACTTCAGCCCATGAGGCAGAGACTGCAGTGAGCCAAGATCGTGCCACTGCACTCCAGCCTGGGTGACAGAGTGAGACTCTGTCTCAAAATACAATAAAAATAAAATAAAATATTGGTCAATATATTTACTTAGCCCTAAGAAATCTAAATTTGTTTAATAAAGTAAATTAAACTTCACATATAAAAATCACATTATTGAAGCAATATTTCAAAAGGGCACAAAGGGAAGTTTTTTTACTTCATAAAAAATTAACTTTAACTTTTCAAGTTAAAGAGTCTGAAGACTTGGCTGCTAACTTTAACTACTGAAGGAAAGAGTATTTTTTCAGTTTTAGTAGCATTAAAGTCTTATACTATTTTTAATTTATTTTTTAATCAACAAGTAAAAATCATGTTTATGGTGTATAATAGGATCTTTTGATACATGTATATAACTGGAATGGCTACATCAAGCTACTTAACATGTGCATTAACACACATACTTTTTTGTGGTGAGAACACTTAACATCTACTTTCTTAGCAGTTTTCAAATATGCAATATATTGTTATTAACTGTAGTTACCATCAGGTACAATACATCTCTTGAATTTACACCTCCTAACTGAAATTTTGTGTCATTTGACCAGTATCTCCCTACTCCCCTACTCTCCAGCCTCTGGTAACCACCATTTTATTGTTTCTTTGTGTTCAAAAGTCTTAATACTATTAATAGTTAAACTTATCTTTTGATTTTGTAAAGTTTAAGGCATTCTACCTAAGTTTCCAAAATAAATGTAATTATATAAAATTTACAGTTAAATTTTCTTTAAAATGTAAGACTAGGAATTTAAAGGAAAATGTATATGTATTTTTTGCCATTCATTTTTTAACAAGCATTTACTGAATGCCTAAATGCCAGACACTTGATAGGTATGAGAATTCAAAGATAATAGGGCTCCATTCCTCACAGAGCAAACAGTTGAATGATAAGGCAGACAATAAAAATGGGACAAGTTCTCTAAAGACATGTATGTAAAGAAAGGAAGGAACTCACTCTGGGCATGGTGACTCACACCTGAAATCCCAGCACTTTTGGGAGGCCGAGGTGGGCGGATCACCTGAGGTCAAGAGTTCGAGACCAGCCTGGCCTACATGGTGAAACTTTGTCTCCACTAAAAATATAAAATTAGTTGGGTGTGGTGGTGCACACCTGTAATTAATCCCAGCTACTCGGGAAGCTGAGGCAGGAGAATTGCTTGAAGCTGGGAGGCAGAGGTTGCAGTGAGCTGAGCTCACGTCATTGCACTCCAGCCTGGAGAGGGTAGAAGAGGAATTCCATATAAATGGGAAAAAAGGACAAGCGAAGAGGCAGTAATATGAACCGGGATACACATGGAACCCTGAACAGATTTGGCATATCCAGGGCTGCTAGGAAACTCTTTTTTTTTCTTTTCTTTTTTTTTTTTTAAATGGAGTTTTGCTCTTTTTACCCAGGCTGGAGTGCAGTGGTGTGATCTTGGCTCACTGCAACCTTCACCTCCCGAGTTCAAGTGATTCTCCTGCCTCAGCCTCCTGAGTATCTGGGATTACAGGCACGCAGAAAAAAAAAAAAAAGCGATGAGAGTCTTGTGGACTAATTAGGCAAAATTTCCTGCCCAATATACTGCTAACTTTGCAATATAACTTAGGCAGTAATATGAATCAGGGATACACATGCTTAAATCAGTAGAAATCTTTAATTGCTAATTGATGCACTTACTAAACTTTAATGTAAGTTATAATTTTAGAAATTTTAATAGGCTACACTTGGAAGAGTAAAAATTTCTTTTATATTATTAAGATGATTGGGTTTTATAGCCTTCTGAACTTTCATCAAAGCTTCTCGGGTTCATTTGGAGGGGGAGGTTGTTTTGTTTTTTTGAGACAGGGGCTTGCTCTGTTTCTCAGGCTGGAGTACAGAGGCATGATCATGGCTCACTGCAGCTTCGACCTCCTGAGTTCAAGTGTTCCTCCTGCCCAGCCTTTTGAGTAGCTGGGACCACAGGTGTGCACCACCATTCCTGGCTAATTTTTTTATTTTTATTTTTGTAGAGACAGGGTCGTGCCATGTTGCCCAGGCTGGTCTCGAACTCCTGGGCTCAAGCAATCCTTCCACCTTGGCCTCCCAAAGTGCTGGGACTACAGGTGTGAGCCACCGCACCTGGCCTTCTTGTTTTTATTTATAAATTGATAATGGCCTTAAGATTTTATATGGCCTTTGAATCTTTCTGAATTTCATTACAGGCTCAGGTAAAAAAAAAAATTCCATTACAAAGAAAAATTCTATATAACAAAACAGTGTGTAAATGTCCCATTATAAGTATAGTTAGTAATAATGAATTCTTTGTAAAGATTTTACATACTAAATGCTTCCTCTCTTGATTATCCTCTTAAGATACTCATCCTGTATTTCCAAAGACCTTAAATGGTGTCTATTGCTAAGAGCTTTGTCATTTCTGCCTGGTGATTAAAAATACCTTTTAACTCCCTGAGTCTTTTCTCAATGTAAACATTCCTAATTGAGAAATCAAACTGAATTCCAAATGCAGTGCAGACCTGAGAAAATGTAGGGATGACAGTTCCTCCAGTTTACTGTTAATAAATTCACAGACCTTCTGTTCATTCATTGATTCATTAGAGAGAGCCCATTTTATCATCTGCAAACTATAAATATGATTTCCAGTAATATAGTCTCCATAAAAGAATCATGATACTAAACAGAAGTGTTCTTTGATGAAACAAATACTCATTTGAAAGCTAAAGAATAATGCATGTCTTCTTTTGTCTTTACAAGGCTAGTCCATTAAAGGTAGAGAGAATATCACTTTGAGCTACGCTACTGAATTACAGTTTATACAGACTCTTTTCTTTAATTTCAGTATATAATAGGAGAAGAAAAAAAAACCCTTTCCTTTCAGTCAGTGCTTAATATTTTGAACTGTAATCAAATGGGCAATTTTTACTGAGATTATAGAAATGTATTGTTTCTAAAGCAATGATAAACAGTTTAATACAGACAGTTGCAAACTTGAGCTATCAAAGTCAGGTAAACTAACCTTCCCCATTACTTTGGCCTTATCCTCACACTGGCTGTCTTATCCTCACACTGAGTCCCTGAGTCTGCTGAGGTCCCCAAATGGAAACTGTGATGCATAAATCCAAGGTGGTTTTCAAAGAATCAGCCATGTAAACAAAAAGTAAAGGTACAAGATAAAAATATCTGACAATTGCTTTAACATTCACTATAAAAACCAATAAAAGAAAAAAAGGAAAAACAAAAAGAAATTAAAAATAAAATTCACTACTAAAATGACAGAATATGCTACTCTTTTGCAGACTGATTTCCATTTGCTTCTTAACTGAAGAAAGAAAATGGAAACACTAATGTGCAGGGTACTCACATAATAATTTACAAATGAAGTAGCAAAAAGAAATTCATCACACCTCAATATGTTATAAATAACAATAAAGAGTTTTCTTACCTTCAAAAGTTCAAAGTAATGGAGACAGTGGTAAACAGGGGCCAGAAGCAGCCTGGGTAAAACATATTGAACAGCTTCTTTGAAACCTTCGCCTATTGACTAGAAAGAAAAAGTGATTTAATTTTTTTTTAAGTTTACTTTTCAGACATTGTACATCTTGATTTAAAAATTACTATACCTGCAAATAAAGTGCTGCCCCAGGCTTTGATAACTGACTAAGGAAACGATCATGAAAACCAGGTCGCAAAATATCTCGAGCATACGATTCATATGGATCAAATGCCAGTTCCTTAGAAAATAAAGAAGGTAAAACATAAGTAATCTACCATTACAAACACAGAAAGATTTAATTATGGGACACGACTATGCGAGCACAATTATGTATTTCTTTGAAAGTCTCTAAACAAAAATTATATGACTACTAATTATAATTTTAATAGAAAATATCCCAATATTCTCAAGAGAGTAAATCGGTTCTTTCTGATGAATAATAGAATCCTTTTATGTTATAACAGCTCTCATTAAAGGTTTCCAGTAGAGTATTATCAACAGACATGGCCAAAAGAGTGGGCAGACTTTTGGTTCTAGAAAACAAAGCTTAACTTGAACAACAAAGAATATAAACATGTACAACTAGGTAAGGTATAAACATTTAGAATACTGAAGCCAGACATGTTTTTATAGTTCTCAGTGGTAGACATGTACTTTCATATTCTATAAACCAGAAGTAACAGTTCATGTCATCTAAAATTCATTGTTCTAATTTCACAAAACAATTAAAATCCGAACTGCCCAAAATTTTGCCATCATTAATATCACCAATCAATAAATTAAATTCTAATGGCTCAGTTAAAAAGAGCAGAATATACTGGTTTTGAAGATTTCTGGGGAAAAAGAGAGTAGGTATCTTGATTTTAGCAGAAATAGAGTTGCTCCTCTTCTATCTTGTGCTGTATTCCTGGTATAAAACTATTATGAAAATGGTGCTCTAGATTCTAGCAGGAGCTCACTTCCATAAAGGGTAATTCTAGCAAGAGGAAGAGGACATCTAGTGGAGGAGCATAGTAGAAAGAGGTAGAAGGGAATGAAACAAAAGACGGTTATGAATTAAATCACCCTTAATGATTTTTTCAGATTGCTTTTTTTTTTTTGAGTTTGGGACTTAGTCTCCTTCTGTCGCCCACGCTGGAGTGCAGTGGCACTATCCCAGCTCACTGCAAGCTCCGCCTCCCAGGTTCCCGCCATTCTCCTGCTTCAGCCTCCCGGGTAGCTGGGACTACAGGCGCCCACCACCACGCCCGGCCAATTTTTTTGTATTTTTAGTAGAGACAGGGTTTCACCGTGTTAACCAGGATGGTCTCGATCTCCTAACCTCGTGATCCGCCCGCCTCGGCCTCCCAAAGTGCTGGGATTACAGGCGTGAGCCACTGCACTGGGCCTGACCAGGCTGGTCTTGATCTGCTGGACTCAAGTGATCCTCCTGCCTCAGCCTCCCAAAGTGCTGGGATTACAGGTGTGAGCCGCTGCGCCTGGCCTCAGATTGCTTTTTAAGAAATGATTGAATAGTAATACCACCAGATCAGACATCAGAAGACGTGAGCTCTGGTTGTTGCAAAATGCAATATGGCATGTAAACTTCTAAGTCATACTGGATTCCTTGAGCTGGCTCCTAGTTGACTTCCCAATTTTTAACTCCTTCAACTTTCTTCTCAACTAAAAATTGCTATCATAACACCAGAAATTGCAGTCTATTATGTTTTACAGAAATTGATAGTAAGGTTTCAAAAATAACAAGAGGATGGAGTCAGGTATGAATACAGTGGATTGGAGAGAAGACTACAAATGTGAAGAGATGCTTATAGCTTAGGTCTCTTCCAATTCAGAAATGATCATATGCCACAGACATGTTTGCCCTCCTCCCCTTTCAATAATTCCTAATTTATTACACAATTTTTATAACTACAGGTAAAGAAAAGGCTTTATAATGTGGCTTAGAAGCATGGGTTTTGGAGTCACAGAGATGCACATTTCAATTCTGACCCTACTATTTATTAGCTGTGTAACCTTTGACAAACTACTTACTTTCTCTAAGCCTGTTTCCCACTGGAAATGTGAATAATAATCATTTCACAGGATTGTTTACAGAACTAAATGAGATATAAGTAAAGGGCTTATAATAGCATCTGGCACAGAGTAAGCCCTGCATAAACGGTAGTAGCTAATACTATCATTTTGAAATAGCTAATCTCAAGAGAAAAAAAAATCAACAATTAACGAAGAATTCAAACACTCTTCACAAAGTTTTATTCTTGAAGACAAGTTTTTAGAATGGTAAGCAATTTTGAGAGATGGTATGAGTTAATAGATGATTTTATGATAGGTTCATTGGTTAAAATGTAACAATATTCATAGGAAATATAAAATTGTCAATACACATAATTGACAGAAAAGTACAGAGAACAGCCTAACCTAACTATACCCACCATCGAACTCAGAAAAGTTCAACATTTTATAATACCTGCCTCAGCTTTTTAGAAAAGAAATAAAACAATATAGATGTAATTACTTCCTTTAGGCTCCCTTTCATAAGCTTATCTCCTGCTGATCACCAGAGGTAGTCATTACCTTGAATTTGAATTTTTTCCTTCCCGTGTACGTTTTTATATCATAATTACATATGTATCAAGAAACAAAGCAACATATTGTTTTGCATGCTTTCAAACTTCATATAAATATCATAATGTATACATTCATCTATAAGTTGCTTTTTATACTCAAACTTTTTTTAAGATTTATCTATTTTGATTCATGCAGTTCCTTTCACTTTATTTTAAAACTTTGTATAATATTCTACTGTATGAATATATCATTTTCTCTAAATCCATTCTCCACTGATAAATGTTTCTTGTTTTTCAGAATTATTTTAAAAATTCTGTAATTTTACACTTCACTTTATTGTGCTTTACTTTATTGTGCTTTGCAGATATTGCTTTTTTTTTTTTTTAACAAGTTGAAGATTTTTGGCAACCCTGTGTGAAGTAAGTCTATTGGCCCCATTTTTCCAACAGCATGTGCTGATTTTGTCTCTGTGTCACATTTTGGTAATTTTTGAAATATTTCAAACTTCTTCACCATTATTACTGAGCCAGTGTTCACTTACCATTCTGAAACTCCTAGGGCCCTTAAGAATTATGCTAAATCTACTCTGGCTGTGCCCTATAAATGGAACAGCAAAGCCTGGATGATAGTACAACTGTTTACAACATGGTTTACTGAATATTTTAAGCCCGCTATTGAGACCTACTGCTCAGAAAAAAACAAAACAAAACAAAACAAAAAACTTCTTTCAAAATACTGACATTGCACCTAGACACTTAAGAGCTCTGATGGAGATATACAAGGAGATTAATGTTGTTTTCAAGTCTCTTAACACAGCATCCATTTTGCAGCCCATGGATCAACGAATAATTTTGACCTTCAAGTTTTATTATTTCAAAAATATGTTTTGTAAGGCTGTAAGTGCCATAGACAGTGTTTCTTCTGTTGTATCTGGACAAAGTCAACTGAAAACCCTCTGGAAAGGATTCACCATTCTAGATGCCACTAAGAACATTCATTATTTATGGGAAAGGTCAAAATATCCGCATTAACAGGTGTTTGGAAGAAGCTGATTCCAACTCTCATGGATGGCTTTGAGGAGTTCAAGACTTCAGTTGGAGGAAGTAACTGCAGATGTGGTGGAAATAGCAAGAGAAACAGGATTAGAAGTGGAGCCTGATGATGTGACTTGAACTGCTGCAAGTTTATGATAAAACTTGAATAGAGAATTTGCTTCTTATGGATGAGCAAAGAAAGTAGTTTCTTGGCTGGGCGTCGTGGCTCATGCCTGTAATCCCAGCACTCTGGGAGGCCAAGGCAGGCGGATCATGAGGTCAAGAGATCAAGACCATCCTAGCCAACATGGTGAAACCTGGTCTCTACTAAAAATACAAAAATCAGCTGGGCGTGGTGGCGCACACCTGTAGTCCCAGCTACTCGGGAGGCTGAGGCAGGAGAATCACTAGAACCCAGGAGGCAGAGGTTGCAATGAGCTGAGATCACACCACTGCATTCCAGCCTGGTGACAAAGTGAGATTCGGTCTCAAAAAAAAAAAAAAAAAGTGGTTTCTTGAGATGGAACCTGCTCCTGGTGAAAATACTATGAACATTTTTATGACAACAAAGGACTCAGAATATTACATCAACTTAGTTGATAAAGCGGTGGCAGAGTTTGAGAGGATTGACTCCAATACTGAAAGAATTTCTACTGTGGGTAAAGTGCTATCAAACAACATCACCAGCTACACAGAAATCTTTCATAAAAGAAAGAGCCAACAGCTGTGTCAAACCCCATTGTTGCTTATTTTTTAAACTGCCAGTCACCCCAACCTTTGGCAGCTATCAACATCAAGACAAGACGCTTCACCAGCTAAAAGATTATGACTCACTGAAGGCTGAGATGAGATGATCATTAGCATTGTTTTAGCCGTATTTCTAAATTTAGGTATGTATGTTGTTTTAGACATAATGCTATTGCATGCTTACTAGACCACAGGATAGTGTAAACATAACTTTTATATGCACTATAAGCTAAAAAAATACTGACTTGCTTTATTGTGATATTCACTTTATTGCAGTAGTCTGAAACCTAAGCCATGAGATCTGTATAACTTAGTGTGCAAATATGCATGAATATTTTTTAGAGCATGTAAACTACCAGGGGAAGTTGCTTTCCAAAGTGGTTATATCAATTTATATACTTAGCAGCAGTGATTTTTCCCAGTTGTCCCCTTCCTTGTCAACAATTTGATACTATCAGACTTAAAATTTGTTAGCCTGATATTGTGAGACTATGCCAGTGTTATTTTTATATGTATTTCCCTGATTACTAGTAACGTTGAGAATCTACTTATATGGTTACGGGCCATTTATTTGTATCTTCTCCTCTGAGAATTGTTTATTAATAGCTTTTGACCATTTCTATTAGCTTGTCTTTACATGTTAAATTGATAGTTTTTAAAAATAGCTTTATTGAGATATAACTCATACACATTCACTCCACCCATTTATTGGGCAAAATTAGATGATTTTTAGTTTAACGGAATTGTGCAACTATCTTCATAATCTATTTCAGAATATTTTTATCACCCCCTCAAAGAAATCACACAGTCTTCAGCTATTACCTCCCAAACCCCTAAACCCCCTCAGCCCTAGGCAACCATGAATCTACTTTTTGTCTCCATGGATTTG